TAGACAAGAGTTTAATGTACAATAATAAAATACCATTGTAGTTTAGATTTCCAAGAGCTGGGCCCAAGACAGAGATTGAGGTACATGGGACTTGATGAGCAATCCTCAAAGGAGAAAGGGAGGGAGGGAGTAGGACACAATATAAGAAAGACTTAAGTAAGAACATGATCTCAGCTGGCATCTGGCTGCACACTCTGGAACCCTAACCACAGCACAGAGGCAGCCTCACCCTTTGGCAAGAAGCAGGGGTCAGTACAGGTGCAACAGGGCAAACTTTTGCCTATACCACTCAGCACCTGTGTACAGGATGCCTGAGCAGCAGGGAAGGTGGAGCCTCCTGGCAGAAGTGAATTCCATTTGCCAAAGGCAATTCTAAAGAAGTGGGTGCTTTGCTGCTAACACTTGCAGCAGCTGGGCATAGGCCCAGCAAAGGGATCTGGGCAGACACCAATGGTCCTGGCTCAGAGCACTAAGATCTTCCTTGACAGAAAGAAGGACATTGTCCCTAGTCCTGCAGCATCCCTTATAGTTCCAGCAGAGTGGTCTGCCTCTGCTCCCCCACTCTCATCAAGAGCCAGCAAAATTTAGGGCATCATCACCCCTGCATCACTTTATCAGCTCTCCTCTGTGACCTAATCCCCAAAAGAGCCTCCTTGGACTCAGGAGGCTCTGACTTCTCTATCCAAGCAGGGCCCAGCCTTCTGGTGATAATTTGACCTCAGCCACCCCCACCTAGGTCCCCATGGTGGGGACTTTACTATTCAAAAATTTCTATCACACAGTGAGCACCTCGAAGGAAAATTGGCAAAATTAATTGGAAATTAAAGTAACCAAAATGAGCACTGCATTAAGAAACTATTAACTCCAAATGACTGCTGGAAGGGATCTGAAGTTAATTATAAAGGCTGCTTGGTTATTTTTTGTATTTTCTGCCTCACAGTATCATCTTAGATCCTGTTGTCTGAGTCTGATCAGCATTCTGTAGATACCAGTGTTTGTTTTGAGAGGTGTGGTCCTCCCCTGGACCCATGAACCAACTCAGGCATTGAGGAAGCCTCCTTGGCCTGAGTCAGGGCCTCCCTACTAACCCTGTGCCTGATGAATAGCAGCTTGAGCCCATACATGCCCCCTGTCTCAGTACTCTTTAAAGGAAGCCATTGCCAGAGGCATCCCAAGAGTCCTTTCCCACACATTATTGCATAATAGGCACCACCATCCACTTCATTAGGCTCTGCTGGGGATCAGGACTAAATTGGGTAAAATGGAAGAAGCACATAGCTTATTAGCCAATGGGGATGTGGGAGAGAGTTGGGGTAGGGAAAGCTGATTGATTGCCAAAAGAACCTCCCAGATATACTGCCCTGAAAGACAATTCTGTACCATGTTCCTCTCTCCCTGGGAGCAATCTATGGCAGTACAAAAGACTATTAGGGTAGGAGCCCCACAAAGACACCGGATTTTACTGTTTTGATCACAGATTTATTCTCAGTACCTAGACCGTAGTTTAGAACAATATGTATTTGTTAAATGAATGAGTAAATTGCAACCCCCCAGAAATATTTACTAGACCAGGTGCCAAGGGAAAGGAACTATTTGTGATGGCCATTCAGCTTCTGGGAGCCAGGTATCTCAACTGAAGGATGTGATTGAGGCTGCCATGATTTTTCACTGGTGCTATGGCAAAGCTAGCTCCCCTTGATCTTATCTCACATCCCCACCTCCCACCCTCATCTCTATATTATGTATGAGATTAATTTTTCTAAAATCCATATCTAATTATACCCCTCCCAATGATTCTTTGCTACCAACAGAGTAAACTCTAACTGTATAAAAGGGCCCCAGCCTGCCATTGGAAAGCCTCAGAGGTCTAAAGTCCCCACAGCTTCCCATCCTGAATGTTTCTCCTCCAAGAAGCTTTTTCCAAACACCTGGGACCACTATGAATGTCAGTTCTCTTTTGTTATTTTCTTAGTCTTGAATTTAGCATGAAGCCAGCCATTGTCTACTAATTTTCTTCTTAGTGTCTTATGAGTGTTCCCCCCACACACACATCATCATCCTATATAATAAAGAGGTAATATGCAAATTCACTATCACACCCTCACAAGATGGCTGCCCACAACCAGGTCAGCAGGGGGCTTAGTGAAGGATGACCAAATGACTGAACAAACATGCTGTATGGGGCGACCAGGCCAGCAGGGGGGTTAGTGAAGGATAACCAAATGACTGAACAGCAGGCTGCATGGGGCGACCAGGCTGGTGGGGGGACCGTGAGGGGCAATCAGGCCAGCAGAGGGGGCAGTTAGGATGACCAGGCTGGCAGGGGGGAAGTTAGGGACAACCAGACCAGCATGCAGAGGCAGTGAAGGGTAATCAGGTCTGTGTGGGAAGGGGCTGTTAGGGGCAACCAGGCAGGAAGGCAGATGAGCAATTAGGAGCCAGTGATCCAGAATTGTGAGAGGGATGTCTGATTCAGTTTAGGCCCCATCCCCGAGATTGGGCCTTATCTGGCAGTCAGATATCCCCTGAGGGGTCCTGGATTGGAGAGTGTGCAGGCTGGGTAAGGGGACTCCCTCCCACCCCCTGTGCATGAATTTTGTGCACCAGGGCTCTAGTGAGAATGATAATTTCCTTGAGCAAATGGATTAGTATTTTCTTGAGGCTCCCACGGAAAACTGTGGAAAGGGCTGAGAACATAGAGATCTCATTATGAAAGACACTCACTGCTCAATCAAGAAATTCATTGGCTCCCCTCTTTACACTTCCTCACCACATTTTCTTATCATAGCTCTCAGTCCACCTCTACTTGGCAATTCTAACACTCTCTTGTAAACATGGGGGGGGCATTGGTCATGAAGTCAGCAGTGGGTTGTCCCTTCTCCTTGAATCCCCAGCACTGGTACAGTTCCTGGCACTCTCACGAGACAATGGAACAATATCTCTCCAGCTGTCTATTTGGATCCCACACTCTGATAGAGCCTTAGCTACACCTTCCAAAGCATTAGCTCCTTCATGTACTCATTTCTCATTTATTTGTTCAGTATCTTTAGTAAACATTGACTATGTGTCAGATACTAAGTTAGGTATTGGGGAGAGAGTGATAAAAAGGCAAGACATTTTCCTTTATTTATCATAAACTGGGTTTCTTGAGGTTGAAAATGTAATTAAATCATCCCATGGTTTCATTGCTTGGCACATAAAGTGTTCACTGATGTTTACTGAATTAGTTAGTAATGTGTCTAGCTGTGGTCTCCCATTAATCCTATGGGATTTTGGAGGGACTGACATTGCTATAAGTCTGGAGTTGGAAAAGTCATACAAAGATCAGCTCACTGATAAGATGTGTACATTCAGCAGACATTTCCTAAAAATTCCCTGTCCTTGAGGAACCCATTGTCTAAAAGAGAAGACAAAGATACATCCTGTGGGGGTAAGTGCCAGATTAGAGAAACAGCAAGACATTGGTGCAGGGGCAGTGATAACAGATGCTGTCTTCTACTCTAGAGGGTAGGGGGCTTCCCAGAGGATGGGATTCTTGACCTGGAGAGTCAAACAGAAGTGCCTCCTACAGACAAAGTAAGAAAGGCAGAAGGAATGAGGCATGAAAAGAAACAGTGAAGACCTGGGACATTTAGGGAACTGATGGTGGGAATTGAACATCCCCAGAGTTTATGAGATAAAGGAGAGGGTGGATGAACAGGTTAGAGGGAAGGTATATTATAGCTCAGGAAGCACATGTGGTTCTGGAAGAGACTCAAATGTTGATACAGCCTCTTGAGAAGACAGCAGAGAAGGAGAAAGCAAAAATCTGGAAGGATAAGAAATACAAACCCAGCAGATGGGGTGAGATGTTTATCTATAGTTCTTGTCTGGTCAGCATCCATTCACTCTCCATCTGGTAGGAGCATTTTCCTCTGTGAAACAGTCCTCTGCCAGGTGAAGTCTGCTTATCCACTTGGATTGCCTACCCAACATCTACCCCAGGCCAATCACAATATTCCACTCTTCTGGCCACAGTGATTGTCTCAGAGATAATCACATGACCCCATGCAACCCACTGAGACTCAGTTCTTAGTTGTTGTTATTGTAATGAAGTGGATCTTTATTTTATGAAGATGTTGAGAGATATGAGAAGCTGAAAGTGGTAACACTTAAGGCCTCTGACTGCCACATGGTAAAGGCCTACTCAAATGAAGCTAATACTGAGGAATACAGCACCAAAAAATGACATATATATTTGAGTTCATATCTTATCATCTGAGTTCTGTGAGCCATAAATCAGCTTCTGGATTTTGTAGAAAACTTTTTGTTTGAAAATTAAGCTAATTTGGATAAGGTTTTTGTAATTTGCAACTGAAAAAGTCTTAACACACTGAGAAAGATTATAAAGAAGTTTGAGTCTCCTGGAGGTGAATATTGGGTTAACTATTAGTATTGTCTAGCTTGGAGTGGGGAAGATGAGCAGAAAGCTGTGTGACTAAGATGAGTGGGTTTAGGAAACTTGTGTGGAAAAAGTCCAGAGAACACCACTGAATTACTAGTTGAGAAAAGTAGTTTAAATTTAGAGATGATGGACTTAGGACACATACAAGTAGGAAAGCTGGTTTCTCCAGGAACTGGGGCAGGTAAGGTGCAGGGAGTGACTTTACAATTAAGCCTCAGACTGACCAATGGCAGGACCACAAACAAGTCCCAGCTTGGAGGGCAGAGACCTCTTAGCATAATTAAGCTGGACGTTATAGTCCTCCCTAGTTCCTTCCTAGGTAGCTAATGGGCTGTGGGAGGTGCAGCAAGTGTTGCCAAAACAAGGTGAAACTCACAAGAACATTGTAAACATGTTGACCACTTCCCTTGTTTTGCTTTGTGTGATCTGACTATAAAATAAAGCTTTGGCTTGCAGGCTGGGTATTTCTGTGACCTCATCCAGGCACAGGAGATCTACCAAGCCCCAGCTGTATTCTCCTGTCTGTCTTCTTTAATCCTTCACCGCCCCTCCTCAGGTTCACCCTTGGCTGTGCTGGCATGGCACATGTGGCGTCCAACATGGAATGTGTGTATGGGGGAACTACAATTGTAAGGTGAAAGGATGCTCCAGTGCAGAAAGCAGAAAGCAGAAAGTAAGGTAAGGAGAGCAGTTTGGTAATAGCTAGGTGTAAAACATCAGAAATTCAAGATCTTAGGAAAGGGATATCTTAAACAATGCTCAAATAAGCATAGTCAAATTTCTAAATTTCTTAAGGTGTCAAAAGGTACTTTCTTAAATTAGGTTGAAGGTATACAAGTGCCCTTGTCATCTTTAACTATGTGGGCTCTTGTTTGAACTGCATTATGCCCACTTTGTATTGAGGATCAAAATTTGTAACACTTAAGGCCTCAGATCCTCCACCCCTCGTGTGTGAAGGCTCAACAGCTAGAGAAAATGGGGCTAACAGTCATCTTACAAAGGACTCTTTAATGCTTTGTCTAAAATTACAATATAATACCTTGGGACAGGCAAATTTTAGCAAAAATAACTTTAAACGCCAGTTAATGCTGTGGAGAGCAGAATATGATAAGATGTGTGAACAACAGGCTGAGATCTAGGCTTCATTCTGGCTATAAGTCCCAAGCAGTATAAAAAAACATCTGAAAGATTCATGAAAAGAACTCTGATTTATTAAGTCTTATCTATGTCTTATGGGTGCTTGTCGGTTGATTGTTGTTTTATCTGTCTGTGTTGTTTGGTTTAATTTGTTTATTGTTAGTCTATTAAGAAACAGTAGATACCCAGACCATTACTAAATTTTCCCAGAGCAAACAGAATGTGGGGATGGAGAGGAAGAATATAAACAATACATATGGCTGATGACACAGGTTCTAGAAAAATTCCCTAGACAAAGGTAAGTAACTTAAAAAGGTCCCAGCCCATTAACTACTGGGTCTTTGGATGATCCTATAAAATGGATGGCCATTCTTGGGAGTGTTGTTAAAAGTCCCATTTTTGGCATATTTTTATTCCCCAGTTCGTCACTTGAAATTAGAATAGATGATAAATTTCTCACAATTTAGGGATACATCTGGCATTTCTGTACCTGTGAAGAGAAAAAGGCTAGCTTAAGAGAAGGCACACCCCATCCTATTTTGGGTGGCCTCTTGGATTTAACCCCATCTCTTCACAGATGCTATGGAATAAACCCAAGACTCTTTCTTTTTAAAAGATGGCAAAAATGACACAAGAAAAATATACAGGCTGGGTTTGGGCAACAAGTGTTTCCATATTAATGGGTAGTTCTTGAATAATAATGGATTGCCTTCCAACATTTCCTCACAGGTTCTGGGGCACTCCTGTTTTTATAAAGGAAAATAAAATGAAATAATACTTTAACATTAAAGCCACTGAAAGTCAGGAAGTTATCTCTGTTACAGAAATTGTCAAAGAAAATGCCTCAGATAATAATAATTGGCTTTAAAATCTCAAAATTGTTAAAACATAAATAAATGTAACTAAAATGAAAGAATTTGTAATAAAGCTTTTTTAGTAATAATTATAACTATATTAATAATGTAAGTCCAGCCACTCAAGAGGAGACTGACTGCCTCTCTGTTAGAGAAAAGGGCCAGTCACCTTTCCCCCTGTAAAAGCAGAAAAACCACAGCACCAACCTTAGATGTTATCTCTAAGAAAGAATGTGACAGTTTTAAAATTCAAGCAGCCTGGAGGCCTGTTCCCTCCTCCCTCTGCCTTTTTGCCATGCCTATACATAGTTTTCCAAAGTCCTTGGTAACTTAAAGACTCTAGAACATTGCTAAATTAAATAATAAAAGTTATTAATTATCTAGGTATTTTAAAATTACAAAATACTGAAATATAAATCTTTTTTTGTTTTTATTGTTTAAAGTATTACATATTATTACATATAGTAGTACATATATCTTATTTTTCCCCCATTATCTTCCTCCATGAAATATAAATCTTATCTTCCTTAAACCAAGGACACTTAGAAGCACAAAAACAAAAAGAGGGAGAAAGATGTTATGGAAGGATATTATGTGTTAAATTTTTTGAATTATGATGCAGAGGGTTGTACAGCAGCCAAAAGCATTGGGCCTTCAGTACAATAGTCTCCAACAGGTTAACCCAATGGAAGGATGCACCATCTGGGCAATGGTTTGGACTAGATCCAGTAATGATGTGGAGAAGAGATTGTGTTTTTTATCTTTCCAGAAGGAACAGTGGAGCCGATTTGGGTTCCAGACCATTATGTGCATCACCACAATGGACCCAGAGAAGCTCCTTGGCCATTCATTCAAAAGATTGAGAGTTGCCCCATAACAGCAATGTAGAAGAACAAAATAAAGACTATACAAGGGGCTGAGGTGTCAAAATGGGGTCAGCTGAAGAAATTAACAACTGAAGCCCAGCAGATGGTAGAAAAGCAAGAAGTGGAAGCTACTCCCTCACCCATGTTTCTGGCTCTGCTAGCATTGGTTAGCTTCCAGTCTTCTGTAAAATCTTGCACAGCCAAGTCTGAGGACTCTGAGTAACTATATACCAGCAGCAAAAGAAACTTTCATTCTGTAGCTAAAAATGTTAACATGTCTGTAGTTTGATTTCTCTCTTACTTCTGTGTTGTATTGGCATTATTTTGTTATTGTTTTAATAGCCAGATCTTTGTTAATAATGTTCAAGTTTTAAAATGTTAACATATCTGTAGTTTGGTTTTTGCATTGGCATTGTTTTGTTACTATTTTAATAGTCAGAGCTTTGATGTTCAAGTTTTACCTTTATTATAGTAGTTTAAAAACAAATAAACAAACAAACAAAAATGGAGAGATGTAGGGAGTGGCTATAGAGTTAAATCTCAGACTGACCTGTGGCAGGGCCACAAACAAGTCCCAGCTTGGAGGGCAGAGACCTCTTAGCATAATTAAGCTGGACATTATAGTCCTCCCTAGTTCCTTCCTAGGTAGCTAATGGGCTGTGGGAGGTGCAGCAAGTGTTGCCAAAACAAGGTGAAACTCACAAGAACATTGTAAACATGTTGACCACTTCCCTTGTTTTGCTTTGTGTGATCTGACTATAAAATAAAGCTTTGGCTTGCAGGCTGGGTATTTCTGTGACCTCATCCAGGCACAGGAGATCTACCAAGCCCCAGCTGTATTCTCCTGTCTGTCTTCTTTAATCCTTCACTGCCTCTCCTCAGGTTCACCCTTGGCTGTGCTGGCATGACATACTAGGGAAAGACCTCATCCTGAGCTTGGAAGGAAGGTAGCTATAAAGGGAATCATGAATAATACAGGATTGTGCTCAAAACAAAAATCTGTTCCAAATGGAATAAACTAGAGCAGAAGTTGCCAATGTTTTGTTTTTGTTTTTTCTATAAAATGGCAGTTAGTAAATATTTAGGCTTTGTAGGCCATACAGTATCTGTTGCAACTGCTCAACTCTGCTGTTGTAGACCTAAAGCATCCAAAGACAATTAGGAAAGAAATGAATATAATTATGTTTCAGAAAAATTTATTTACAAAAACAGGCAGTGGACCAGATTTGACTGTGGGCCATAGCTTGTCAGCCCTTGAACTAAAGAATGTAGACAGTTTAGTGCTATAGGTGTGCGCTAAGCTAACTAAGCTCTGAGTGCATGCGAGCATGTGTCTGGAACTCACAAGTAATTTTTCATTTCATTTCTGCCATAGAAGAATTCTTCAGTGGCTCAGTGGGGTAGCAAAGGTGATTCTAGGGAGGCCTGATTGCCATAATCTCTCTAGATCTTAATTTAATAATTTCACCTCAAAGCTGAAAAGGAAAGGCATCAAGGACAATATGTGGTGGAAAGTAGCAGCCAGTATCAAGGACAGTGCCACTCCTTGGAGGACAATGTTGGTTTGGGAATACCCTGTTTCCATCTAATCTATTATAATAATAGAGGAACATGCAAATTTGTCCATTACAGTTTCACATCATGACCGGATTAGCAGGCTACATCCCCACCCTCTGCTCAGGCAGCTGCAAGGCCAGGGTAGAATAGGATACAATAGGAGTGGATAAGAAAGGAGAGGGAGAGGAAGGCAGGCCTGCATGCAGACAGGCCAAGAGGAGAAACAGAAATACATAAAGGAACAAGAAAAAGATGCAGGGATGAAAAAGGGAAGGAAGTTGCATGCGAAAGGGGGAAGCAGAGCAGGTGTGCCTGGTGTGGGGCAGGGCACAGGCGATGTGGAGCAGGGAGCCCCACCCAGAAGCAGCAGGAGATCAGTTGGTTGGGAGGTGCCCATGGTCTGGATGGAGTGGAGGACAGTCTGAGGCCTTCTGGGCAGAGGCGCTCCTGCTTTACTTCATGGCAGCAGTGCCTGGGCCATGTGGGCCTCGGCCACCCTCACTGAGCTGGGCATCCTGGGCAGGGAATGGGAGCAGGATAGCAGCAGGTAGGCCAGGGAAAGGCGGCAGTGAACACCTGGCCAGGGCTGAGCCTTGGACTGGGGATTAATGCACTGCCTACCAAATGGAAGCTTTAAGAAGGGAAGGAGGGAGGGAAGAACTTTATAAAGGAGTCAGTAGAGAGCAGAGTTAAAGAAGGAAAAAAGATGTGTGAGTGAACTGTAGGAGATATAATGAAAATCAAGTATCGTTGTGTACTGAGGACAGATTTTAAAAGTAAGAGTTGGAAAAGAAAAAGGATAAATGATAGTGAATAATTAGGCAGGTAAATAGATTTTAAAAGTGGATGTACAAGATAGAAGATGGCAGCGTGCAGGATGGAGATGAGGGAGAGGCTGTGAGTGAGTGAGGGGATGAGAGGAGAGTGTGTGGATGTGTGTGGTGTGTGTGTGTGAGTGAGTGAAGGACAGTTAAATCCGGTAGGAACATCAGGGGCTGGCAGATCAGGCTCTCCCAGACAGGGAGAGACTCCCACTGCTGCGGGCACTCCCTGGGTTGCAGGACTCAGGTACAGAGCCCACAGCATCTTGAAGGGGAGAGTGGCCTCTTCTAGGAACTCATCAGCACCACCACCCTGACAGCCCTTAGACACTGCCTGTGACCTGGCAGCCACTCCATGCAAAATCCTGCTGCCCCAACTGCAGACTCATGGACCCTGGGACCTCCACCTCCAAGGGTGCATGTTTCCACAGCAGTAAGTGCGACTTCCCGCCTCCCCAGTAGCTTAACTCCTGACACCACAGTCACACTTCTCCAGTGTCATAGTCGTGCTTTTTAAGTGCACAGACTGCTAGTGGGTGTCACTGCGGAGCACACTCTTACCTAAACAAGGGCCCACTGTCTTGGCAGTAGAAATCTTTCCTGGATACCTGCCCACAGTCATCTCAGTTGAGTGGCTTCAGCGCCAGGGCCCCTCTGAGTGCCTGAGTGTGCAGCCACTGGGCGTGAGCAAATCCAACCAAGAGCATAAGGTCCCCGGCAGTAGAAATTTGGATTTACCCCACTCCTGTCTGCCTACCCAAAGACACCTCAGTCACATGGCTTCAGCAAAAGGGCCTATCTGAGTGCACCGCCTTGGCAATTAGCTCTGGAGTATCCCGATGAGCCACTACTGGGCGTGTGCAAATTCAACCAAGGGCACAGCAGCAAAAAGTGAGTTTTCCAATTTCACAGCTATCAACCTCTGACACCACAGCGGCGCTTTGCCAGCACACAGGCCTCCTCAGTCAGAGGTCGCAAAGGCAGCTCTTGGGTACCCCTGTGAGCCCCCACTGGGCACACTCTTATCCAAACAAGGACTCACTGCCCCAGCAATAGAAATTTTGAGTCCCCCCTTTCCAGATACCTGCCCACAGACTCCTTTGTCACACGGCTTCAATGCGAGGGCCATGCTGAATGCACTGTTCTGGCAAACAGCTCCCAGGTGCCTCTGTGAGCTGCCACTGGGTGCAAAAAAAGCCACCAAGGGCACAGGGCCCTAGGTAGTAGAAATTAGGATTTACCCCACTCCCGTCTGCCTACCCAGAGCTAGCTCAGTCATACAGATTCAGCACAAGGGCCTCTCTGAGTGCATCACCCTGGCAAGCAGCCCTGGGATACCTCTATGAGCCACCACTGGGTGCACACAAATTCAACCAAAGGCACAGCAGCAAAAAATTCATCTACCCAATTCACAACTGCTGACCTCTGACACCACAGTTGCTCTTTTTCAGAACACAGGCCTTCTGAACTCACTGCCCCAAAGGCGGCTCTTGGGTGCCTCTGTGAGCCCTTGTGGGGTGCACTTGTATCCAAACAAGGGTATGCACAGCCTTGGCAATAGAAATTCAGATTTCCCTCCATTCTTTCTGCCTGCCCATAGACACCTTGGTCACATGTCTTAAACACAAGGGCCACACTAAGTGTGCTGCCCTGGCAAACAGCTTCCAGGTGCCTCAGTGAGCCACCGCTGGGCGCACACAAATCCAACCAAGGGCACAAGGCCTTGGCAGCAAAAACTGAGTCTTTCCACCCCACAACTGCCAACATCAGGACACTGTAATCACACCTTTCCAGAGCGCAGGCCTCCTGAGCCCTACCACCCTGACAAATGACTCCTGGATGCCTCTGTGAGCCACCTATGGGTATGCGCGATTTTACCCAAGGGCTAAAGACAGCAAAAATTGGGACATCCCCCTCCCTGGCTGCTGAACTCTGGATACCACAGTTGCACCTTTCCAGCACACAGGCCTACTGAGCCTGTTGCCCTATAGGCAGTTCGTGGGTACCTCCTTAAGCCCCAGGTCAGGGCACTCATATCCAAACAAGGGCATACAGCCCTGGCAGTAGAAATTTGGACTTCTCCCTTCCTGGCTGCCTACCCACAGACATCAGACACTGTATCATGTGGTTTCAGCATGCAGGTCCCCTGAAGACAGTGCCCCAGCAGGCGACTCCTGGGTGCCTCTGTGAGCTGCCACTAGGTGCACATGTATCTCCAACCAAAGGCTCAAGGACTAACAACAGAAACTCAGATTTCCCACACCTCAGCTACTGACCTCTGGTCACTGCAGTTGCACTGATCCAGTGCATAAGCCCCTGAGCCCACTGCCCTGGCAGGCAGCCCCCAAGTGCTTCTCTGAACTGCTGCAAGGCATAACCCCAGTCACTGGCATCCAGTCCCCACAGTAGTGCCACTCTGGCACAAGTGACTCCTGAGGCCACTGCCTCAGCAGACGGCTCCTGGGTGCCTCTGTAAGCAGCCATTGAGTGGGCATATTTAACCAAGGGTGCTCATCCCCTGAACCAGAAACTGGGATAAACTGTGGACTTTTCCCTCCGCAAAGCCAGTGGCATACCACAATCACTCTGATCCAGCATGTGGGCTTCACAATATCATACCCCAGCTGAAGATGCCTGGGCCCATCTGTGTGCTCCCACTGGGAATGTGCCTC